TTAATCATCGCCGTGCCAGTCCCGCTCCCATTGCTGCCGTCTAGAAAGTGTTGAATTACTGAACTTACCTCTAGTGTATTATCTGAGAGACCCTACTATTTGTCTATATATTTTTTATGTAACTGGAAGACCAATGCAACTGATTGCTCACCTGATTGTAACTGGTAACCGTCAGCTATAGACATGAAAACCACAACCGACATCACGTCATCATGTAACTGCCTGTGTTCTATTCCAGAGGAATAAGTTGTACCCTTTGTACCCTGTAAACCCTCACTATCACAATAAACTGTATTTCCGTTGAAGGGTGAGAACCCTTCAACGGAAAAACAGTTTATGAAGTATGCTGCTTTTTCACTAAAAAAATAACAATGCATTATTCTTAATGTGAAAGTCTGTCTATTTATTTGTTTGTTTGTTACTTTGTCAGGACTAAACTCCTGAACAGATCTTAATAAAAGCCATAAAGAAGATAGATTGTACCCAGAGATCAAAAAAAGTCTCTATTCTATCCAATTTAGACGTCTCTCAAATTTTATTACTGAACGAATATTCTGGCGTTTTGTATTCAGAAAGTATGACTAACAGACATGTACACTCGAATTTATAATACTAAAATATAGACTTATATGGAATATAGAAGTTTGACTCGAATTTATAATAACTATAGACTTTTATGTAATTATAGATATCTTGATACATTGTGTCATTTTTTAAATTACATTCGAGTTTCAATAGTCTAAGTTTCAATCGAAAACCCTTAGTTAATGTTTAACGCTCCCATTCGTTCAAGCAAGCATTCGAACGGTGAGAATTTTAAAAGTCGTAGTAAATGCACCCAGTGGCAATGGTCGTAAAGAATTTCTAGGTGCTATTCGAATTGGCGCGATCCGGATTATACTGGTTAAAACCGGGTGTATACTACAGGAATACAGGTGGTTTACATTTGAGTAACAGATGTAAGCCAACTGTATATTGTACGGTACCGGTATATAGTAACTATTAGGTACTTTATATATCAATTATGTCGTTTATATATACGTTTGATACTCTGTTAGTTCAATATAATTTTTACCAACAATCCGATCGAAATTAACTACTTTAAGCTAGCTAGGTTACATAATTCAGGTCTGAAAAGAGCAATACTAGTATAACAGTGTTGTAATTGTAACATTGCAAAACAAATACATAATCACAGAAAACATTGTATCGTCAATCTTAAACGGTTCATTTCTGATAAAACTTGAACAAATATACGGCCATGTGAAAAACCATACATCATGTGACCGCTTAACTTTCCAAGCGCCTTCACAACCCCATAACTCATTCAGTGACCTCTGATTCCCGTGACACTATCACGAGATCGGCCTGTTCCGAAACGACGACAAAATTTGTGAAGAGCACCCAAATTTGCTCAGATCTCGATGATATATAAACCTGCAAAAGTAACGATAACTGGTATAGTCTTTGGTACTAGTTACTAAAGTGGGTAGTCCGTTACTAAAGTATCGTTACGTTACATGCGAATTATTTATAATATTTTGATAACTAATGTCACTCTACTTAACCATGGAACCGTGCTAAGGTATTGTTGCGTTATTAGTTACTTTTGATATAATTATTAATTAATTAAATCATGATAGGATCTATTAGGGATTATTGAATATACAACATTAAACTAAAGTAACATTATGGAATAATTGTAGTATAAAAAAATAACTGGCAAATACAACTATTTTTTAACACCGCATTAAAATGAAACAAATATGATACAAGTAACTCGTGATTTAGAAAGTAACGTTACGGTACTTCGTTTCACTTGACGTACTAGTTACTCATTACTCGGTATATACGGTTTACAACAGCTCTATTGATATATCCTACCTTTTTCAATGTCCAATTCCAGAATTAAACATCTCTTTCTTTTCAATCGGAGCGTGCAAATGCTATCTGATATTTGGCGAAAACGGTTCCCGAATGAAAAATAGAATGAATTTACGAGGCCCCTTTTTTAATGTTTCTCGTATTCTGTTATTTTTATTTTAATTTCACAGCACAAATATTTTGGTGCTCTTGACAAATATTTAGCTCTAATAACAAGATTTTTTTCTTTGAACATCGGTGGCTTATTTATTTCGATTTTATATTTTTAATTTAAAGCGCTTAATGCAATACTTATTAATAAAATTAAAGACGGTGAAAGTAAAATAAATGGGTAGCGACTAATAAAGAATTATTACGTACTTTCACGACGACCAGCCGCTTCCAGACGAGACAGACATTCAACAGTTCATCTATAAAAATTCTCCCATCACTTGTCATATACAGTTCTATATCAGATACATTTCTTCTATCTTCTTATTTATTCTTCTTCTATCGATATATGCAATTCTTGTAATTCTCTTCATGCCATATACTAGTTATTTGTTGAGGGTCTATTTGATTTAAACCATAATTGCTACCGACTCTACAGTATAAATTTAATTAAAACTTTGATTATCATTTAGAGATACATAAATGATAAATAAATTAGACCACTAGTATGATAAATAAGAGTTTATATTTCAGTTCTCATATCGGTTTATACAGCCACGAAAAAAAAAAAGCTGTTCACGGACCATTACGCCATAAAACGTCTATAATAGACACATAGGCCATTATATATTTCAGTAACATAATGTGATAATGTGAATTATGTTGAATATTTAAATTATGGTGTGTGGCCTTGCTTGAGAATAAAACTAACTTACCTCAGTGTATGCATATACCTACATATATTATAATTATGAAATATCATTAAATCCTTAAGTAACTATTAAATAGACCTTACAGAAATTTTTCATAATATTTCTTAATCAAGAAAGAAATATGCTAATTATATTAAAATATATCTACGATAAAAGTAGAATACGACTTTTATACGGCTTGATATATAAATAAATTCAAGTAAAAAGTAATAGTCTTCCATTAATTTTATTTCAACTAATTAAATTCTAAATAAAATAACTACTTATCGTCAAAAATTCGAAATTATTTTAATGTTCTTATAGAAAACACAAACAAAACGATCACCTGCTTTAGTTTTCAATGGACCGCTCTAATATTTAAAGTTACTTAAACCCGAAAACCGACTGAAGATCGTAAATAGTAAAGTCCATTTTCTATTACATTTGGTACGAATTGTCCTATCGAAATATAAAGTCCAGTGTAACAAAGCGAAAAGTTATTTATTATCATGTACGTATTGCAGTGAAATAGTGTACAATAAATATGTATTCTATTTGCATTGTAATAAAGTTCTATATGGATTTTGTGTTTAGTATGTGTAAAAATTTCTAAACTATGAATTCCATTGATTTACGTACAATGTTCAGTGTAGCTTAAGATGAACATTGTTTTATTTAATACTAGCTGTTCTAAAATGAAAGTAGCCTAAGTTACTCCTTATTACACCAGCTACCAGCCAATAAAAGTACCTTCAAAATCGGTCCCGCCATTTCAGAGATTAGCCGGAACAAACAGACAGACAGACAGACAAAAAAAGTAAAAAATTATATTTTTGTGTATATACAGTATTTATATTCATATGCATGTAGTTAAAAATGGTTATTTCAATATCACAAACAGACACTCCAAATTTATTTATATGTATAGATTGGTTGTAGTGATATACTAGTAGTCTGTCCCAGCTCCGCACGAATGCAATACAAATCTTTAAATTTCTGGGCTTGTTCTATACAATAACACACATGTATTATATACATATAAACCTTCCTATTGAGTCACTCTATCTATTTCTGAAAACGGTATTAAAATCCGTCGCGTAATTTAAAAGATATAAACAGATAATGGCGGCGAGTCTTTTATACTACGTAAAGAGTTGTAGTTAAATGGCACGTGTATACGTGGAAATGTTCTTTTATTTAAATCCAAATTTTAAAAATTGATTTAATTCGTCATGTATCATTATCAGTGCGAAAAAAAAAGAAAATGTATTTTTACTTGCGATTTTGCAGTCAGCGCCATAGAATCCAAATTGTAAACTAAGTTAAAAGAATCTTTCCCTACTTGACACTATTTTATTTTTATTGTACCTAGTTGGGGAGCGAACAAACTGTTAGGAAATAGTTATCCTGAGCTCTGCAACTCAATTGAGTTATTCGATTAGCCTATGTAGTTCACAAACGTCTAGTTCGTGAAAACGTTAAAAAATACGAACTACGAGAACTAGCTCGCAGATATTTCGCTCTATAGTTCGTCTTAGTCTTACTTCCTGTTTAGCAAAAACTCCTACGAAAAATCGTAAACTTGCAGCAAAATTATGTATTTATATGCCTAGCTTAGGTAATTCTGCCTGATGCCTTTCTTTGACTGAAGAGAGAGCGAACGAACTAGAACGCAAGAGAGCTAGAATAAATGCGATCTATTGTGCGATTACTTACTTATTTATACATTATTTAAATTTGAACTTTTTTCATATGCACTCATAAACAATTGATATTATTATAACTATACTAAATAAATATAAAATTACATTAATTCTATATTAAATTGGTCGGCAAAAATATTAAAGGGTCGGCAACACGCAAGTGATACCCCTGGTGTTTCAGGCGTTCATAGGCTATGGTAACCATTTACCATCAGATGGGCCGTATGCTTGATTGCCACCATCGTAGGATAAAAAAAAATCATTTATGTCTACAATTGTGCCATCTAGTTTAAACTGTAGTATACAGACAATTTATTGCAATGGCTCTACACCATTATAATTAGTTTGAAAATGGGTAACGAGTATTAAGTGTCTATCTGACAGGCTCGACGCGTTTCTGTTTTAAAACAAATTGCACTTATTTATGCTAAGAACAATGACATGAGTCAGGAACTCGTCATAAAGTAAATATGGAAATGAACTCGGGCTCGGTACAGAAATGAATAAGCGCCGGTTAAAAAAGCGCCTTACATTGACCACGATTATTGTATACGTTTTGTTTTTTTTTCATCTAATTATTATCTAAAGTTCGCAAAACAGTAAACGCCTGGTAAGTTGCTTTGAGAACCTGGAAACAAAAAAAAATTGCTTATAAATAATTAAAAAATAAACATACTTATAATTATTATAATTAAATAAATTTCTAATGTAAATTGCCTTTGTTGTTTCCTATTAAATCCAATATTTGTCTTTTATTGATGCCTAAATGATATCTCAGATTTTGAGGCATACACAGGCGACACTGTACCATTCTGGGTACAGTTCGGAGCCTCGGGGCCCATTGCCCCGGCATCAACTCCGGGGATATCAATCTCCGGGGGATATGTTTGATAACCTCGAAGGGTACAAATAACCTTAATTATTATATTTACAAAACTAGAGACACATCACAATATTTACTTAAATTAAGATATAGTACCATATTTGTTTTTTTTTTAATATATTAATGATTATTTTTATTTCTAACTAGCGGTTCCTGCGACTTCGTCCGCGTGGAATTTATTTTTATGCTTTTTTTTCTATAATAAAAAAAAATCTAAAATAAAGATAGCCTAAGTTACTCCTTATTACATCAGCTACCTGCCAAAAAAAGTCCCGTCAAATTCCGTCCAGCCATTTCAGAGATTAGCCGGAACAAACAGACCGACAGACAGACAAAAATTATAAAAAATGTTATTTTGGTGTATGTACCGTATATATATTCATGTAGTAAACAACAGTTATTTCAATATTACAAACAGACACTCCAATTTTATTTATATGTATAGATCATCTTGTCTTATCTAACAATAACACGATTACTTACAGATGTCAGTGTAATAAGTGACAGTTCATTCCCAAACGCTGTTTTTATACTAAAGGTCTTATTCATGTAACATAAAATTATGTGGTAGCATTTTATATCTTTCGGATGCATGCTGATCCAATCGTAGTGTAAAAGTGCCAAATTAAGGTTCTCGGCCTGGAATTATAATAGATTTTACTTAGGTAAACTTTGTCCAAAGCTGTATGTGAAGGTACCCAACTTTCACTTAAGTGAGCAGTCTATAAGTGAAAATACTTTAAGCGATAAGGTCGCCTTTTGTTTAAAACATTTATGTAAAGATTTCTCTTTGTAAATATTTTTTATTGCACAATAAAGAGTGATATGAACAATATTACTTTATCTGTCTTTAGATTGAAATGTGAGATACGAGAGTGATTTTACAAGGTACTCAGACATCTTACTTCTCCGGAATGGTAATGGTTACCAATATGATGACTATGGTGTCATTCATGTATTGATACGACGGCAATATTTTTCGACGGTAATGTTTTTGTATAAAATATCTACCTTAAAATTCATAGCGCTGACAATATTATCTGATATATTGGAATTACCCTTAAATAAATTCAAAACATCTGTTAAATCATATTTACTGAGCAAGGCCTATTACTCACTAAACGATTACTTGAATGACGAGCGTACATGGCAATAGTTTTCATGTTCGGGATTTTCATTTAATGTTAGACATAGACACGTATATAAATACCTATGCATTGTAAATAAACTGGATTTAAAAAAAAAAGTAATTCAATTCAGTTTCTTGCCAGTTCTTCTCAATTGGATCTATATACCGAACTGAACGGTAGGAAAAAAAAATATAATGTAAATCCTTGACGTTCAGCGGCTAACATGTCCTACATGAATAAATGATTTTTGAAATTGAATTTGAATTTGTATTTTGTATTTGTATTTGAATTTTGGATTTGAATTTGAATTTGAATATGAATTTGAATTTGAATTTGAATTTGATATTTGAATTTGAATTTGATTGAACAGAGATTAAATGCGTAGTGGTTTCTATATTTGCCATTACAAATATATGGGCCGAAAATGTCAGCTTTTCTATTCTATTATACAAGTACATATAACAAATCCGTCTAGATCGGGGGTACGGGATTGTCATAATAGAAACTAGTAATCCCCATTGCTACCAATGTACCACATTAGGTGGATCTCACGCGGTTCTTTCTAGAAACCATCGTTATAAATCCCTAGTGAAATTGTCACGATGGACTAACTGTCCTGACCTCTTACTCACCTTATCACCCTCCACTGGTACCTGCCAGCGTAAACCGTTAGCGCCGGCGGGTGCATCATCCCATTAAGTATAAAAAAAATCCATCTCGATCTGAATTACACTAAACAATTTAAAAATAATGAGGCATTTGAACTTCTACCTCCACTGGCACATCAATAGCTCAGGCAGGTGCAATGATAAAACATATCAATAAAAAAATTACCTTAGTTTTAACTTGTTCCCCAAACCAATTAAACACGAAGATCTCAGAAAGCAACGGTATCGCAGTAGAAGTGAAGGCCAAGTTAATTTTCTTAAAATAAAATCAAATTGTGTCATGAACTTGTATAGGTTTTTTTATATAAGAATCCTTTCCACAAAATTAGGTATCTGAATCACGCTTCAAAAAGTTTTCTATCACGTTTTTAAGAACTTTTCCTTCTCACAAAACTGGTCTACAAAGGCGGACTATACATGAATTACATACCAAGTACTTATACATTTCGAATATTCAATGCCGTGATGGCGTGAAGAGACAAAGTATATACTTTATTACTCATTAAATTTAAAGCTAAACAAAATTGATTGATAAAATTTCTAATAGTAGTGTGACAATTTATAAGGCACTGTACTTGGTCGTAGCTCAAGTATATTTTAACATAAGAATAAATATGTTTCTTGTGTTTTTCATTGGATTCTCAATCACTAAACTAATAGTTAAACCACACATTTCTTCTTCATGGTTTCTACCATCAGATCTACCAGCAGATCTAATAATAATAATAATAATAATAATAACCAAACACCATCAGCCATAACACCCACAGCGCCATCTAGTCTCAAGCTACATAGATCTTATGTTACGAGGACTAGGCAACTGATAGAAACACATATATTTTTATTTTTAAATCTAGCTGCACCCGCGACTTCGTTCGCGTGGAATTTACTTTATTTTTCTAAAATAAAAATAGCCTAAGTTACTCCTTATTACATTAGCTACCTGCCAATAAAAGTCTCGTCAAAATCGGTCCAGCCATTTCAGAGATTAGACGGAACAAACAGAGAGGCAGACAAAATTATAAAAAATGTTATTTTGGTGTACGTGCCGTATTTACATTGATATGCATGTAGTAAAAAACGGTTATTTCAATATTACAAACAGACACTCCAATTTTATTTATATGTATAGATAAAGAACGTATAAATCTGAAAATATACTTACGTTGCTCGTTAGAAGTAAAATACAACAAGTGCATAGTGCGACCATGTAAAGTGGAACCACCGCCAGCCATCTGTACATCTCGCTCATAATATTTAAAAATCTGAAATTATTTTTGTTTATTTAACATTATTGTAAGTTTTAGAGGAAGGTCGAAATAGAGATGGATGGACTGTGTGAAAGATGAAATGGCAAAAAGGATCGTAAATAACGAGATGACTGGAACAGAGATCAATGGAGCCTATTACGCGGAAGCCATATGACTGGGATAAGGAAGAAAGAAGGAAAAAGCAGATGATGACGATGACTTATGTAAAATGGCTCAAATCTATCATAACGTACTCGTTTATATTCATATGGACTTCATAAAAATTCTTCAAACTATTATTCAATCGATCGGCATATTGTTTGTTATCTTCATCTAATCCTTTATTTTCTACTTCCAATATTTTAACAATTTTATCAGATGCCATGCAATAAAATAACATCAAAATCACGAACCACAAGTCTACTACAAGTATAACAAAACTTATTTGAAATATAGACATTATATGTAGAATACTTCCAATTTCATAATAAGGTGACGACATCGGCATAAGAATTGACGTTACGTTAGATACAAGAATTCTGTTACCTCTAAAGTAATATAACATAGGTATCAATGAATAAAAAACAACAGGTATCATTAGAACTGTAAAAAACATATGAATAGCTTTCTTTCCCATAACAAGCGCAGTTCTATCTGCGCTATCTGCTTTTAATAAATGAAAAATATACGTTTTTGCTATCAGATATAACTTTTGAAATACGTTTTTTTTGCTAGCAAATAGATAGCCTTTAAATATACGAGTGCAAACTAGTATCAAAGTGAAAGACGCTTCAGCAATGAATTGTACATCTTTAGTTTTTTTTATGAAGTTGTATGTTCCCCATGCAACATAGACACTCAAGCAACCATTAAGGAAATGCTGTAAGAGAGATGTTTTCCACGTCCATTTTGGATTCAATATTTGTAGTCCAAAGATTACTTGGGTCCATAAAATTATATTCATTGTATTGTCAACTTCATTTCTTTCACCAACAGTTTTTATAGGATTGGTTCGTAAATAATTTAAAAATCGTTTCATGTTAAACGGATAGTGTATAACAGATGTTCACAGAAATGAACAAGTGTTAGCAAGTATGGCCTATAAGTACTACAGTACAAATACATTTGAAGAGTAAAGTTGTAAGTACAATAATTTTTTTTTTCATATAGATTAATTTTTTAACCAGAATTGCTAGGAAGTTGACGGTATATCTGATGACAAGTAGTAATCTTTATTTATAAACATATATGAATAGCAATACGGATACGCAGGTTATCATCTTAATAATAATATATTTATTTTTTCTCCACATAATCATACATAATATAGAGTGCTGCAGTGGCTTTGAGGCATGTAAAATTCCACGCAAAAATACAGATTTGTGGAGAACTGGTGCCTGTACTAGGTATCCGATGAACCTGTGTCACGGGTCACCAGGTCCATCTTATACCCATGATACCTCTCACGTGTTGCCATTCCGAAGGACTAACATCTAATGGCTCTTATCCTATAGTTTAACAACTTTATCTCACCCTTCAACCCGCCACATTCTACAAAGCAAGCTGCTTGGTGGCCGGGATGTGACTGAGGCACTCATGCAAAGGACTTACAAAGTCTACCTCTTTCTCCTATTAGGATAGTCACGTATCCAGGAAAAATGTTCATGAGTTATGATAACAATGAGATAAACTTTTAGCATTCCATAAATTCAAGATGTGGGTGCCGAGTCCATCGTGTTGTAGAGAGGTAAACTCCTAGTAGTTCCCGGGACTTGTGTAGATTTAAGCTCTTCTGACGTACGTCAACACTCACCTTGCCTTGCCCAGCTAATTCCAGGAGCCTGTTAGTGCTGTTTTAGATACACGTTCTTGTACAGAACTTTTTGCAGTTATTGGCATGCCAAGACCTAGTAAAAGAAATTATTTCTTGAAAATATTTTTCACTGACTGTACCAGCTGAAATTGGCTTTAGAAATTATTCAATCAGCTTAATTAATCTTTCGACGCCTTAGTTCTGTTAACTGCCTGTACGCTATTTCATACCTATTACTTGTCCGTGCAATTAGGCAATATTATTTTGCAATTCAGTAACTTTGCTGAATGACTGCATAATAGCTAAGTTATATCCTAAGGCCCTAAGAATAAGGTGTATTTTCAGTTATGAAGAACAATTTCCTTTTAATTGTACGTCTATAGTGATTCAGAGCCATTCCTATAATTGGTTTGAAAACTACGAATTTGTGCAACAAAAACTTTTGCATTAATTATTAGCTAACGGGCTCTGAAACATCGGAACTGGTAGTAATAAACAATGCAAATTTTAATAAACTACTTCCGCGATGGACAAGATTTAACTAATGCATACAAGAATTTAAAAACTTTCTAGAAATTATTTCTTTGTATAGTAAATGCTTATAATTTAGTTATAGTCAATATTTTTTATTTTTCGCGACTTCGTGCATTTTATAGATAATAGATAGCCTATGTTCATCTTCGTGACACAATTTAGGTAGATTTAGACAGACATTTTAAATTTCATTAAAATCCGTTTAGCTGTTTTATTTCATTTATTTAAAAAACTCAAATCACTCGGACCTCCTGCACAGCATATCAAACTAGATAATAAAAAAAATTAAAAAGAAAGTTCTTAATCTGACAGTACCAGAGGTTTTTTTTTTGTTAAGAAGGTTTACGGGTTTGGACGTGTAGTGTTCCCAGATTAATAACTAATACTTTGAGAAACTGTAATTTTATTATACTATTTTTTGTCTTCAAAAGGAATACTGACACAGTTTGAAACTTATAATAAATATCTTTATAGTCTTTAAACAAAACCTGAGATATTGTTTCAACCTAAAAGTGGTATTTGACATCGCCTTCGGAAATCTTTTTAGATTCAGTTGTAAGTCTACTTTTAACCTCTATATATTTACGATAATTATTTTTATTGGGACCCTATATATATAGGGTATAATATACATAGGGTCCCAATAAAAATAATTATAATAACTATATATATAATGTGAGTATCCTGTTACATAGTTTATAAAACTATTCAAAACAAAATTATACAAGATTCGTGGCTCTCACACCCCATTGTTAAATATTTCACGACCTACTAAGTTTATGGTGCAATGAAAGCTTTAATTTTAGGAGATGACCGCCTATAAACAGTTTCGCTTGTGTCTAGATAAAGGATTGCGTGCTTTTTACTTTTCATTACTCTTCGTTTATAGTGTAATAAAGACATAAACTTAACATATAACACACAGAAACAAATACGGAGGTACGTAAAATAATCGTTGAAATAATTATTCAACAAGGGACAAAGAAAGTATGGTAAAGAAACTATGAAGTACAAATGACGATGGATGGTCGATTGATGGTCGAAGAAATACCTGATGAGAATGTGACTATAAATGGTGTAAATATTAAGGTTTTCGCAAATAGAGATGAATGGTAAACAAAAATATTCTCGTATTACGCCAACCAAAAAACATGGTATGTTCATGTAGACCATCGTGATAAATTACCATTTACCAATAACTGACATGACTTCATTCTAATGTTATCATCCTTCACTTTTGCCCCGCCAGCGTAAACCGGTAGCGCAGGAAGGTACATCATTCCATTATCATTCATAAAAAAATATTGCTTCTAATTTGAATGTAGCGTAGGTTTTACAAAGCAAACTGCACGGCTTGAATGAAATAAGTGAGACAGAAGCCAGACGCCCACGCGGAGACTTTGTACAATGTTTTCCTCGATAGAATTAATGAAGGAATCATTTAGTAAACTGAAAGGTTAATATTGCAAAAAGATGCTTGTAAATTGTGTAATAGAGGATAATATTGTGTAGTAGTAGTAGCTGACCCCGCAAACGTTGTTTTACCGTATAAAAGCTATTAAAAAAAATAAAAACGGGATATTAGGGGTGGACAACCCTTATCACTTTGGGGTATGAAAAATAGTAGTAAAAATAATAGTCGATTCTTTTTAAAATTTCGTAAAGCTGTTTCGTAGGAATATGATAAGTAACATTGTGACACGAGAATTTTATATATAAGATTATCAAAAGTTTCCACTAAGTGATAAATGTAACGAAATATAATCGTATAGATCAACGGATCTTTACAGCCGCTATATATTTAATCAGGCTTTTGATTAAAAGGAAACATTGCCTTTTTATTACGGCCATAAGCTATTAAAGTTAGACTGGTCGCTTAGGTTTATATGCGAGTACCGACTAGCTGACTTATGGAGCGAAATAGACGAGTTCAACCATATTTTTTATATCCGCAATTTTATATACATTATCAGCGACTTTAACTTTTAAAAAGAATAAGACTACACGTGCAATACAACGAGTAAAAACAGTAAATCACGTCCGTACTTCAATAGTTGAATTTGCAGATAAGGAACGCAGTTAATTGGTACAAGTCGTTCTAATAGCATGATTTATCTTATAGACATATCTTATCTTATCACATCTCTCTGCTAAGCTTGGGATTATATGATGTTGGTGGTGTGAGATATTATTATTAGTAATGGTGGCCAAAAGGTCGAAATTCGACTATAATTATTTTGAATTGTTTGTTTGAACATTATTAAGTTTCTATTGTCAAATACTTTATACTTCTATACGTGGTATGTCAATTACATGGTTTTTTATTGATTTATTTTTTAGGCATATTAAAAAAATATTAGTATTTTGTACTCCTTCTCTATATAAACTATATGTGTGCGAAATTTCGTACTTCTCCGTTTTTTACCGGCGTGGTGCTTACATACCAGGGTACATGTTGAGCGGCACATGTTTATTCTTATAAACTAATTGCTTTAATTAGAATTGTTATTTTTTCGCCATGCAAAGTTTATGGATTACAGACATTTTTCGAAGGTTCTTGTATTAAGCACCAGATGGCAACATGTGTCATGTATTTAAAATACAGTATAATTGGAAATGATTTAGTATAATAATAGTAAAGTAGCACAGTGGGCTATCTCCGTCCTCAGGATACAATCAATCTTCACATCAAATTGTCTGTTCAGCCGTTTATTAGAGAACAGTAAAGACACATTTGTAATAGTATGGATGGAATCCAATGATTGCCTAAAAACATAGAAGTACCCACCCACTTCCAAATATATAATACGAAATGAAAATCATTATTCAAAGGGACAAAAAGGCTAATATCAACCCACACATTTTGATATAAGGAAATTTCTTTATGGCGTCACCTCCTTTACCGATAAATGTAATTTCCGGGGCTTTATTGACTGATCCAATAATAATAACAAAAACATAGATCTCATATCATTTAATTGTTTATTGAATTATATTGCACTATCCACCCGGCCGGCTTCGCACAGATGATTAGAAACCTTTGAATTTATCGGCTTGTTCTATACGCATGTATTACAAATATAAACCTTCCTCTTGAAGCACTCTATCTATTGCTGAATTTAAATCCATTGTATAAGTTAGAAAACATAAGCGAATGGATAGCGGCGGCAACTTTGTTTTATAGGGTTTACAGATTATGACATATGTATATTATTTTATTAGTAACCAGGATTTCTCGTGACTGTAATCTTATCTTATAATATCTCACTGATGCCTCGCCAATATATACCGTTACCAGGCTGATGCACCAATGGTGCATTCGCCTGCTTATTATATACCTATACATATTTATAAATAAACAAAAAATAATGGAATTATATAAACTAGGTATTTACAATACAATGTCGCTCTTTATATATATATTATAATTATCACACATATATACACACATATATATTATATCATTAACAATATCTTTGACATTAGTTACAATGAACCTAACGTGAATAGACAAGTGTCACAACATTTTAACTCCCCTTTTATTTGTTAATTATATTTAATCAATACGCAAAAAAATAAGATTGCTTTTTGGTATATATCCGTCTGTATTTATTAAATTGCGTAAGAAAAAAGCTTCATCGTTCTGCTTCAAATATGACGAATTTCTATAAAATCTTTTATCTGCTATTTTA